AGTGAGAGAGAGAAGAAGAAGAAGAAGAAGAGAGAGAGAGAGAGAGAGAGAGAGGGAAAAAAAAACTGCGGACAATCGTGAAAAAAAAATCATTGCACCATCGATGAGAGAAGGAGATGTTGAGGAAACGATTCTTCCTTCGTCAACGATTTTCATCGATGGTGCGATGGACTAGACGTAGTAATGATGTGTGTGTATATATATATATCTGCTGTCTTTTTAACTCGCGCCCGCTTGCCGACGGTTGATATCATACAGAATGTAGAGTTGAACTCGTTACAAAAAATCCGATTCCTCTTCTAGAAGGAATCGAGTTTGGATCGATCTCATTCTCCGTCTCATTTCTATACACCATATATTAACCATCTATATATACTCTAGGAGATAAGTGGTCGCGACGATTTACTTTTTTTACGCACCACGCGGAGGGTACACGAGATGATACTAGAAAAAAATGGGGGTGGGGGCGGGAGGGAGGAAAAAAAAAAAAACGAGAAAACGAAATGTACAAGGTGTCTTTTTTCTATTAAATATTATAGTTTGTCTTTTATCCTCGCGATCTAAAGCTATACGATAGACTCGTCATTCTTGTTATTGTCTCTACTATGGGTTCTATCTATGCCAGATTCTCTCTCACTCTCTCTTCTCATTCTCTCTCTCTCTCTCTCTCTCTCTCTCAATTCTTTTCGTTCCCCTTTTTCTCTAGATCTCTTCTATCCGCCGAATCGCATCGTGCCCATCGTGAAAGCATATTTCCTCCACCGCCAATTCGGATTCGGAGAAGTGATCGTGCGAGATAATGCGCTCGCGAGATGATCGATCGAAAAAATGATCTCTCCCGTAAGTACGAAGTCATCGAGGTGATTCGAACAGTTCCATTCGATGCCATTAATCGAACGGATCAATCCGATACAATCCGTGGTGTTTCGATTCCGAACGAGAAAAGACACACGCCGCAAAAGCTATCGATTACTCCCGCTGGTCGATAGAACGGCTGAAGATTAATGACTAGGCCGCGGTCGGGGTCTGCTCCTAATCATCCAGCCTCGTCCAACGAAATCGTACGTACACGCAATCGCGTGTGTAATCGGGCATGGACAATCGCGAGCATTTATTCTTATGCAGGGAATGTCTACAGGGTGCGTGAATGAAAGTTTTTGTCTTTTTTTCTTTTTTTTCCTCTTTCTTCCTTCCTCCTTCATCAGTCCTCTTTTTTTTTTTTTTCTTTATACAATATTCGTTTCATCGGCGAGATGAACCCCCGAAATTGGTCCGAATCGGATCCAACCTCCCTCCTCCCTCCCTCCCTCAGCTGCTTCCTTACTCGCCCTCTCTTCGACTCGACTCGACTCGACTCGACTCGATTCCGGGCCTTCCGGGCCACGTTCTCTAAGGAATGTGTCTAAGGGGACCTAGAAGAGAAAATTGTCTTTCTTGAGTTTCTCCATTCTCCAAGTTAAATGGCAGTTGTTCGTGGGGACGTTTTCGTTATGTGTCCATGTGGCGATACTTGTGAGCGGACATCTGGGCCAGGCCGAGGACGGCGTACTGGCACTGCAGGCAATGATAGTGAGTCTGTTTGCCGGAATGCTGGCACTGTACACCACCGCAAGGTTGGCTCGGCGTGAACTTTTGAAAGCCCGCCGCCGCGATACTGTCCAATTTCGCGTGTTGCCGCCTGTGGGCGACCACCTTGTTCGTGTCCGTGCAAACGAAGTCGCACTTGAGACAATGGAAGTGGGACGCCTTGTTCTGCATCGAGCCCAGCGAGGACGTGTACGCGCACTGCGCCCTGCCGCACGGCACGTTTGCCCTGTACTGTTGGAAATCGCCGCCCATCAAAGTGTCGAGACGCTCGTGCCTCGCCGTGTGTTGAACGAAACGCGTCTTGTCGCAGAACGAGTAGCCGCAGTCTTGACGCATGCAGTGGAAGTGCGTTTGATGCTCCCTGTAACCGCAGTGGGGATACCTGCAGTCCTCGTTGAATCTGAACCTGAAAAATTTCGAGACGATTCACGATTAACGATCATAAAATCCTTTATCGTCCCAAGTGGGAGGCGGGGGTGGGCGCGAGGAGATGCCAATCTACCTGACGTATCCTTCCGGCACCGGTTCGTCCTTGAGCATCCGCATGGAGTGATGAAGCCTCTGCTTCTTCGCCTCTGGGGAGTTGCTGTCGGGCGGGGACAAGGATCGCTTGTTCAAGTTGAGATTGGCCGCGAGCGAGGCCAACGGGTTCTCGTCTCTCGCGGGAGGTAGAAAATTGGCGGGCGGTAGGCCGGGGGCGAACATGAGGCCCGGCCCGCCCGTGTACATGCCGCCGTGTTGGAGGAAAGGTGGCAGGGCTTGGTTCATCAGGGCTATCTGTTGATTCATAGCGGCCATCACCGCCGGGCTGGGGAAGTGGAAACCGTGGCTGAGGTCGAGCTCGAAGCTGGCCGGGACCGGGGATTGTTGAACGCTGGGCGGCATGCTCGGCTGGGACAATTGGCCGTTCTCG